TGTTGGAATGTACTACAAATGTTTAAATCGAAAATGTTCTGATCTATTTTGTAACTATACAAATTAAGGTTTATGCAAATATATTAAATATTTGTTTTCATTGTTTAATATTAATTTTGATTTTTAACTATTGTTAATGAGGGCTTCGCCACTACAATAAAAATAAAAAGTCAAATTTTAATCAGATTTTCAAAGAGTCAAAGTATTAAAAAGCGAATATGATGCCTCAGATTCGTATTCGGGTCGGTACGGGTTGGAGTTGGTACATATGCAGTTCCCTAAAACTGCATCCTTAAGGACTTACCCTAGGCCCATTGGGCATAGGTTCCAATCTAAGGGAACTCCTTGGGTCCATAAGGTCTTACCCCAGCCGAAGCGTAGGTGCCCACCTAAGGGGAGTGCCCTCAGGTCCATAAGGACTTACCCAAAGCATGTAGCAGAGGTGCCACCCTAAGGGAGTACCTTAGGATCCATAAAGTCTTACTACTATGTGCATTAGGCCTAGGAGCCTACCCAAGGGTCATCTTAGATCCGTAAGGAATTATCAGCTCAATCGGTCTGAACCTATATAAGGATTACCAGTTTGACCTAACTGAACTTGCAGAAACTTCATACTTGATCCCAGAGTATCCTGAAGAAATCAGTTTTCAAACATTATATTACGGTAGCAAAGAAATCAAAGTTCAAACATATCAATTCAGTAGGAACAATATTTAGAGATCATGAATCAGACAGGTAGATTTAAAACTTTAGTAACTCAGAAATCTCGGTAAAACACTTCTAGAATAGATAAAACAATCATATAACACATAGGGAACACACTAGAGGATCCAATTATTTTCTGAAGGTACTTGGTATTTATCAGGTAGGGAGCCATGAAACTTCTGTAAACTGATTAAATTCAGAATCGAGATTCGTATAAAAGGGTTTGATAGCTGACAGATTCATCAATTATTAGGGACATGATTTATCAAGCTCATATAGTATTCAAATAATTTTTGGAGGCACTATGTAATCAGAAAGGTATTCAAAATCTTTTGTATAAGAGTTACATGTGATTTCAGATATGACAGAAGTGATTCCATTATCCAGGAATATTAGGGGCATTTTGGACATTAGGTTCTTGGAGAATTCTTAGTAATTTCATCTAATAAGGGAGAAACGATGATCCATGGTATTTAAGATTCGTGTCGATTTATCAGGATATCGAGTTAACTCGAACTGAACAAATCACAACACTGTGATATCCGCCAACCGGTCAAATCGTTGCACTTCAAGAGTATTCACACTTTAACACTAACAACTCTTATCGAACTTATCATCTTCATAATCATCGTTGAATGGATCTTAGGTAGACGAACAAGTATTCCAATGGTATTTATTTCATTTTTGTATTGCAACGATATCAGGAAATGTCGATGTGTTTGATTCATGGTTCAAAACCCTTATGGACGGTACAACATATAAGATCATCAATGTTTTCGCAATTCAAATACATATAGTATTTCCATTTAGTTTATATTGGTAATATAATATACTCATTTTACACTTCAAGGGCATTTTGGTCATTTTACATTTTAGGGGAAATTATGTAATTTCATAATCAGGTAATTTATGTATTAAAGTTTTTAACGAAGATAAATAAAATTTAGAGATTCTAAGGTTATTCATTTTTCCGAATAATAGATAAACTTGAAATCATTATTATTAGTTTTTCTTGTGTCTATGCATGTAGTCTGAGCTTTATTTAGCTTAATTTACTCTATTTAAAAATCGGATTGAGTTTAGAATTTTAACTATACACATGTAACCATAATCAACCATGTATTTACCAATACAAACATATATACAACATGCATAAGGTAGTAATGTATTACCTCGATTTATGAACCATATCGATCCACCATTAAAACTCCATTCAATCGTCCTCGAAATTTAATTCCACATCCCAAAATTTCCCAGATACATAGCAAACGAATTTAAGTCAGAAACTAAACTTAATTGGAAAAAAATTTGATTCTGAAGGTAAAACACTAAAAAATGTCTTACCGAGTGCGAATTTGGCAAAATGGACTTCAAATTCGGACTCAAGACGTCGAAAAACATAAAATAAGACTTTTTGAAAAATTTGACTTTTTTTGTCAAAGTCAACGATCAACGGTCAGACCGGTTAAAGTTAACGGGTCAGGTCAAAGCCAACGGGTTGGGTTGGGTTGACTCGATTCTGGTCGAGTTGACTCGGTTCGATTCAAACATACTGATTTAGACCAGGTTGGGCCGGTTCAGATCTGTCCAGATCGGCTGGACCAGTTCTAGAAGAAACCAGAGCTGGGGACAAGCCCCATGCGCACGCGACGGCGTGTGACGGGTCAGGGGACGGCTATCGATTACTCCTGTTCAAGCACTCACCAATAACAAATCAATATATAGCTAAAACCAGCCCAAAATCAATTGGAAATAAAGAAAAAGAGCTGAAACACTTACCCACGTCGATGATCAGTGAAACTGACGACGTTGACGCGACCCACCAGACGGGTTTTGAGCGGAACAAGCTGGGAACACGCTGGTGAAGGAGGTGAGGTGAGTCAGTCGCCGGATCGACCAGAATCAAGTAAAAACCGATGCGATGGAGGGTTTCTTGATGAAACTTCAACTATTCATCCCTAGCGAACGGCAACTCCTTTTGACGAATTGGTCGAGGGGTTTCATTCGGACGACCATGACGTCTTCATTGGGATGGGCGGTGGCGTGCACCGTCAGTTGGAGGAGGGAGAATCGAGGAGGAATGTTGTGGGTTAGTTGGGGTTTAGGGATTATGGGAAATGCGAAATTTGGGATTTTACCGGAGTTGCTTTGGGTTATCTGATTGGGGTCTCGGGTTTTTATTTTTGGGTTCTAACTGAAAACCAAACTATAATAAAACATATATTTTATTAAAATATACTCAAATAGTAGCCTAGCCTAGAGGCTAAGGCATGGGTACCCATGACCTTAGGGTCATAGGTTTAAGCTCCCTCAGCTATCAAATTTCCATTTTTTTTCAAACAGATCAGAAAAATTGGATAATTTAGGGTTAAGTCCCTAAACTTCCCACAAGCTCCAAAATCAAGATGTAGCTTTTAAAAATTTACAAATTGGTCCTCAATTTTCCCTTGTTACAACTTTAATTCGATACTTTAAAATAATAAAAATCTAGCCCCTAAATTAGGGTTAACAAGTTTGGTTCCCCTTATTTCTCTCTTTAACCTACACAATAACAAAAAAGTAATGCGAACATGCAAATAATTATTTATATATTTATTTAGATTTAAAATTAAAATAACAAAATATGTAAGTAATGAGAACTAAACATATTACTAAATAAATTTTAAATTTATTATGTTAATTTTATTATGAGTGATTAACAAAAACTTAATAGTAAATGACTCGATTGACACTAATATGAAATGTTAATGAATTAATTGATAATTTTTTATTTAGTGGTTAGAATAGAATCAATCTCATAGTTTAGTAACTAAGTATATAGTTTACCCTATGAATTACGTTAAGTCAATTGATCAATAATATAATTAAGAAGGAGTGAATAGATGTTTAAAAATTTGGCAAAAACTTTTACAAAGAAATAAAAAAAATGATACAAACAATTTTAGCTAAATATCTTATTAAACTAAATAAACAATAAATCTGATGTTAAATTAGCTGAAATAAATAATATAAAATTTTGATTTAAATTTAATTACAATAATCAATGAAATAATTTAAAATTCATAATTATTATAAAATCTTGTTTTAATCTCCTATTTGAATTTCTGCACGTGTTGTCATTTTTAAAATAGACGTATTTTGAGTTCATGATGCTTGCTTTAGGCGTTTCAAGATATGTTAAAAAAGCAACTGACATCCGATTATATTGTAAGAAGATATATCGATCCAAAGATGTACGGGTCTCATTTAAAAAGACGTTGCAAATTTGTTGATACTTCGATTTAAAAAAGAAGAAGTTAAATGTCTTGTCTAAAATCCATTGTTTTACTCCTCATGTATGTATCAAATATACTTTTTTTAACAATTTCTATCTAGGATAAGGGGAAGGAAAATTTTACTCCTAATGGGTATTGAACTCACAAATCTAAAGGAAATAGAAAGCGTCAACCGAGATCTTTTAACCCCTTATTCTTTAGTTTGTGTATGTATCAAATATACTAAATACTAATAAACAAGTTATTAAATATTTTTGAGAAAAATGGATGAAGAAAATTTTCATACAAAAATTCATTCAATAAATAACCTATACAAGATTATATACATCTTAATTGGCATAATCATTAGTTTTATTATTATTTTATTTCAGTATTTATATTGTTTCTTTGTTCAAGATCAATACAACATGGCATCTTTCCACTTGTTGTTTAAATTATTGTCATGTTCAACTATTTTTTTTCTTTGGAAAAGCAAATTAATCAAAGATTTAGAAAAGAAATATTACATTTAATTTATTCTTTAAAACTTAAATCTTTCATATTTGGTGCATGGTTAAATAATTCAGATTCCAACATCAAGATCGTGCGACTATTTGTTAAGACATGTCATGCATTTCACTTTATTTTTTTTATTAGTACGAGTTAATTATAAGATAATATATGTTCGAAAGACTCTTAACCATATGACATGAACACTCAAACATCATGCAAACTTCATATTCAAATTCAAATCTTTTAATAACCATCATTTAATCACTAGGATCGTTTGGTTCGTAGAATTCACCAGATCTTTTAATGTCGCATTCTTACCCGAAAATAGTATACAATAACTTATGAAAATCTCTATTCTTGATACGACTCTATAACTTATGAAAATCTCTAATCTTGATACGACTCTCTCATTTAATATTAGCATATACTAAAGTTGCTAGAAAGGATAAATTAGTAGAGTATTATTATAATTATTATAGTAAACTTTTTTTATCTCCTAAATTATAGGGTTAATTAATCAAATTAATAATACCTCATGGCCTCCTGCTAGCATCACAAACGAGCACACCTCGGATAACTCCTCCAGATGCCCCACCAAGTGTGTCCGCCTCTGTATCTCCCACAAGGACGTCTAAGCCAGTGTCTCCTAGGAGACATTCAATTTCATTTTCTACCTCAAGAGGCATGTTTGATGATAGGTCATCAATGTCAAGCACCGATTCCGGATCACAGGCTGGTTATCTTCGAAACTGTTCTAGAATAAGACCTTATCGAGAATCTAATTACTTGTAGAGCTAGATATGTAGTTCTGCAACCCGCAACATATAATTTCATGACATCTACGTTCCAGGTCGCACTCGGGTTGATGGAAGGTAAATATATCTGCATTACAAAATCTTATACTCAGGTTTCAAATCGCGATCGCGGTCGTGTTTTCGGTCATTTCAGGTTTACTGTAATTGTAGCCGCGGGCGTTACTGGACGCTATTGCGGGTGTAGCGGGTGACTTGGACGGCGACGAAACCGTTATTTCGCGGATAAAATCACATTTTCGGACCGTAATTTGAATCTCTGCTTATAACTGCAGAAAGAGAAAGCTGTTTGTGGATGATGAATTAATACTATGCAGAATCTATTAACAGCTTTGAGGTTTTGCTCTAGCTTCGTCTCACCCATGAACTTTTTTCATCGGGAGCCGCTTGTCGTATGAGCAGTTCGGTGCATTCGTAACAAATGTTAAAGAACTAAACTCCCACAAACGAACGAGAGAAGTACGCAACTTCTTGTCGGACTCGTTTTCTTCGTTCTATTTGTGTTCTCGTTGCCGTGTTTTCATCTCCCTTTTAATCTTTGGCGTATCCAGGAGACTCTAAGGAAAGCAGAGGAGATTTTCGGCCCGGATAACAGAGATCTGTATGCAATATTTGATGGTTTGATCAATCGCAATGTCCATTAAATCAGCCTAGCAATCATCGGTTTTTCCACTTTGTGACTTATTTGTAGGGGCGAAACGCCCATAAGACTACGCGGCCCCGAATATATATATATATTAAAATACTAAATTTAGCCCTCAAGAGACTTGTATAATAAATTATTAAATTTGATTATCTCAAAGATATATTAATTGGATGAGTAATCAATGATATTCATGTTGTCTCACCGAGTTCGAATCTCAATATTTACATTATAAATATAATATCTTTTTAATTAATAAAAAAATTAATTGCCTCAAATAAAATATATATATATATATATTACTTTATAATTTAGAAACCAATTAAATATTCTTTATTAAAAGCAATTAATATACATTTTTCTTTGTCATTTTTTTCAAAATACAAAAAATTATGTATTTTTTTCTCTTTGGTTGTTCATCTTCTTTTAATTGAGGAGTTCAATAAAATTATAAAGTGATTCATCTCAGTTGAAGATAATATTTTTAATTCAATAAATATTTATGATTTTATTTAATTATATATATATATATATAAATATTATGTGGTTTTATAAATTTTAATCTCTAAAAAAGTCTACACATACGTGCACGCGCACAAACACACCCCTCTTATGTCTCCAGTTGTTGAGGTTGAACATGTTAATCTTTCGTTTATAGAATGTGATCCTGAGTTACGTACGTCAATGTAGGAATATCCAGTTAATAAACGAATGAAATTTAACTTGAATGCAGATCCACATCAAATATATTCCTCTAATTATCATTTTCTCAAGAAAAACATCATAGGTGTTATTAATATTCTTGGTTTGCTCAATTTTTTTGAATGCCTCCCCCATAAAATAATGTTGAGTTTAGCCACTAAGTATGTCATTGCACAGAATGGTGGGCAACCGTATTCTGATGAATTGTTTGTTGAACTTAAGGTTAGTGTTTTCTTTTGAGAACTTAGTGTAAAGTAGGAATTGTGTCATTGTGTGACTGTATTCATGTGAAAGAAAGAGACAACTATTCATCACCAAAATGAAGAGGATGCTTATTAGAAAGGCCGCTCTAAGCAAGAAATGCTTGAGCTTAAGGAGCTGGTGACAAAATCAAATGGAGATCAGATTAGAAGAATTACTAAGATGATATTTGTTAATTTAATGACACGTATTTTATCTGTTTTTACATCTCATTTTTATAAATTGTTGTTAGTGTGCATAGTTTATTCATGAAACTATAAGCATGAATTAATGAATAATGATATTTTCATAGGTTGAGTTAAAGATGAAGTAGTCAACCGTGAGGCTCAAACGACAGTTGAAAGAAGAGCGAGTGACATGTAAGAAGGCTGAAATACAAGCTAAGTTTTTCTAAAAGGCATCAAATGAGGAAATTTGCAAGATTAGAGAGGATCTAAAAAACACTAAAAGAGAATGAGGAGTTATACAAGAAAGAAGTCAAAAGCAAGTATATCATTCTCTGACTTTGCTATAGACGTAACTGTAAAAATTGCCATTCAAATTTCTAGAACTATTGGTAATGTTGCATGCCCAAAATTATTGACATGAATAAAACATGACTGAGAATGGAGTTTCAAAACAAAGGGACAAATACATTTTAATGATTGTTTATTGTAAGACATGTTGGATACACTTGTTATATACTTAGATTGGAGACATGTTATACTTTGTTTTAAGCATGTTATATGATAGTTTATGAGGTATTTAATCCATTTTGACATGATCATGTTAAATTTAGGGACAAAAAGATTAAATAGTTGAAAATAAGATTGATTGAACATTGTCACTGAAATTCAATATAAAGGTAAATATATAATTATCATTTAGGAGATATATCTTGAGAATACACTAGATTAATATAGAAAGAGTAGATGTTTAGAAACATCTATAAAATAATCTAGATATTTTTATTATTTAATATTTTATCTAGAATTGTCTATTAGAAGAATCTAGATATTTATATTGTTAAATAGCTAAGATGTTAACACTAAGATGTTAACATGTGTAAACAATCCAATTACTACAAAAAATCTATAAATAGGAGTGAGTTTTACGATTGTAATAAGAGTGAAAAAGAGATAAAAGAGTGTACCTTAAGATAACTTTTTCCTCCCTTTATTTTAAGGCAAAAATACTAAAATTATAATTTAGATCCTTAACATTTTCAAAAAATTTATTTGGCCCCCCAAAATTTTTAGAAATTCACATTTAAATTTTTTAATGTTCTTAATTAAATCCGCTCCGATAATTTTTAAAAACTCTCATTAAGCCTTTTAAAATTTCAAATATTTTAGTTAGACCCTAATATTTTGGAAAATATATAAATTAAACCCTTCAAAAAATTTAATTTAAACCTCTTAATTTTTTAAAATTTTAAGTTGAACACCAAACTTTATCACCGAGTTCTTCCACTGCTTATTTGATACATTTTTTGGTGTAAAGTTACCTAATAAAAACATGTATTGTGACACCTTAACAAAAGCACTTATTTCCTATTAGCTATAAATTTGAAATTAGTAAATCTATTCGATTTTTACGGTGACCACTTGATAGAACATTTATTTATTTGAAAAATATTGAACAGGAAAGTCTAGTTATTTGAAGACCACCCTATTCAATATTTAGGAATAAAAAATATCATTTTTTAATTAATTATGGATTTATGCTCATGTGTTTATAATTAATATTATTAAAGAAACTAAACCTAAAAGGCATTACTAAGCTTATTGATTTCTAATTAAGGAACCTAAACTAAGGCTTTAATTAAATACTAAAGAGCCTAAAACCTAAGGCTTAATTAAAAACCTAAATACTAATTAATATTAGTGACCAAATTAAAAGATTAAAAATCTAAATGTTTTATTTAATAATTAAACAAGTGACCCCTTTAAAAGATTCCCAAACTAACAATTATTATTAACAATTAAACACATTAAATAAAAGATACAAGGCAATTGAAAATGAATTAATGACTAAATTGCATTCAATTAAAACTCGGAGTACAAATTACAAACAATTGGTGACTAAAATAAAATAAATGAAATGCCACGAGTAAAAAGCAAAACACGCTGAATGTAGAGTGATTTAATGAAATGAATAACCCCAAAAGATTTACACTATAAGACCTAAAATTTTATAATCAAGCCTCATTTTTAAACCTCCAAAAATTTTCACTCTCATAAATTCTCTCCCCTAGACAACCGAAAATCACCTAGATTCAACTTACTCATTCATTCTTCTTCATGTTCTTCTCATATTCAAGCCAAAAACAAGCTTAGATCCAAAACGACCACCAAAACCAAACCAAAACTTGTTTTTTCGGATCAAACACTCATATTTCTCAAGAAATATGAAGTGCTCATCCAAAAAAACAAATTTTAATCCACCAACAACACCCAAAAAACACCAACACTTGTTATTTAAAGATCAAAATCCCAACTTTCCCTTAAATCACTAAGAACATTCAAACATTAAACCTAACTCCTCATAAACCCCAAACCTACAACCACCATCCAAACACCAAAACTTCTATCAAACCCAAGCAGCCGAGACCTCCCTCCGGCCAAATACCCGCCATCGGCCAACACTAGCCGAAATTCACCCAAACCAAGATCTATTTGAACCAAAAATAAAGAAAAAGAAGACTCAACCAAAACCGGGCTTTCCTCCGGCGAAGGTAAAATCTTTCCTCTCCTAGTGATTTGCTTTCGAAATGCTTAAGTTTTTCTTAATCTTGGTGTGTTTGTGCTAATGAAATAAGAAGCTGTTTATAGTGTTGATTTAGCTCCCGGATCTACATTTCTCACTCAAAATTGTTAAGAAACAGTTATAACCATCTTAGATATAGAAGCTTAGAATTTTTCCTAAATTTTTCTTATTTTTTGCATGCTTCGACGGTGGTAGAGCATGGCCGCGGGTGTAGAGGTGGGTGTGGCGACGGACTGCGATGACAGCTCAACAAAGAAGATGACCGGATCGACGTGTGAACCACATGTGCCGATGAAGCATCGGTGAGCTCCCCTTCGACCGGTGGACATTGGTGATGCTTTGGAGAAAACAACTTCTTGGCCATTGGATCCATTTTTTGATCCAATGACTTAGATGGGTTTTTCCTTTTTCACTTGGATCCATCCATCCCTACCCCTGGGATCAAGGCTTATCAATGGCTAGGATTTGTTTTAGGGTCTTTTTTGTTTGAGCTATGTATGTGGGCCTAATGCATATGAACTATACTAATGAAAATGGACCTTTATTTTTGGTTTTTCTCATTATTTATTTAGCAAAATAAATGGACTATACTAATATGACTAATCTAACATGCAACTATTATTTATAAACTATATAATATATACAAACCATATAATATGGAATGCAACACACACTAATTATTTAACTATTTAACATGCAATGGATCATGAAATGCAAAATGAAATACAATGCAATTATTTAATACTATAATATGCAACTACCTTGTAAAAATGACACTATTTTCTCATTGTTGTGGAACGGAAATAAAACAAAGACAAGAAGAAACAATTTTATCCGGCTGACCGTAAATCACGAGCTCCAGATCCTTCTGACATGAACCCTTCACCCTCTGATAAAAGTCAACTCAAAACTCTAAGCAAGCTCTCCTATACGAAGTCTTCATTTTCAAAACACATTGGACAGAACAAACGCGATCTCCTATATGAACCTGTCGACACCGTTTTTCACCCGAGCGGGGAAAATCGATACCAACTTGGAAGTTTTTCTTTGAAAATATTTTTGAAATGTGAGGAGGCGCCACTAATCATTTAAGGTGCGATTGGGACACCGTGAAAATCGAGTGATTTTAATAAAACATTTTATTTTTATCAAAATACCGAGTTTTAAGGTCTGTGAAAATTCAAAAATCAGGTTCGGGAGTCATTTATGCATGGGGAAGGATTAACACCCCCACAAACGCCCAAAAATTGGCACCTAGTTGATTACCCTATATTTAGAATCGTAAATTTTGAGTTTGAACTTTATTTAATATAAAAAATCATTACGA